ATATTGATTCTACCAATCCATGAGCAAGGTAGGTTTTTCCATCTGTTTACATCTTCTACAATTTCTTTTTTTAGTGTTTCGTAGTTCTCCCTGTATAAATCTCTTACATCTTTCGTTAAATATATTCCTAGATATTTAATTTTCTTTGAGTATGTGTGGAATTTTTATCTTTCATATAATTTAAATTTACCAGCTCCTTAGAATATCCAATAATGTGTTCTCAGTGGAACATATTTCTGGTTAAACTGATTCCTACACATTTTATTGTTTTGTGCTTTTGTAAATAATGTTTCATGACTTCATTGTTTCATCAATCTATGTGTTTGTCTTTATGCCAGTACCACACTAATTTGATGACTATTGTTTATAGTAAGTTTTATTTTTTATTTTTTTATTTTTTTTGAGACAAAGTCTTGCTCTGTTGGCTGGTAGAGTGCCGTGGCATCAGCTTAGCTCACAGCAACCTCAAACTCCTGGGCTCAAGTGATCCTCCTGCCTCAGCCTCCCGAGCAGCTGGGACTACAGGCATGTACCACTATGCCCGGCTAATATTTTTTAAATATTTTTAGTTGCCTAGCTAAATTTCTTTCAATTTTTTAGTAGAGACAGGGTCTCACTCTTGCTAAGGCTGGTCTCGAATTCTGGAGCTCAAGCAATTCTCCCACCTCGGCCTCCCAGAGTGCTAGGATTACAGGCGTGAGCCACTGTGCCCGGCCTATAGTAAGTTGTAAAATCAGAAAATGAAAGTCTTCCCACTTTGTTGTTCTTCTGAACTTGCTTAGTGTTGTAGTTGTCAAATGAATGAATAACCAGAATATTGTAAGAAGAACACAGGGCTAGCCTGATTTATGACATGGAAAGTGAAGGAACCATCTTTGTTTAGTACAACTGTGGTCTAGGCAGTATTCCAGATGTCTTACATAAAGTATATAAATATGAGAATCTGCTTACTACTCTGGTTCCTCTCCGTGGAGCAGGCACATACTACCTGTGTCTAGTCGGCTACCTCGATCCCATCCCTGACCTCCTCAATGTATTAATTATCAGAGAGATCCAAATCAAAACTACAATGATATATCACCTCACACCTATTAGGGTGGCTTTTATTTAAAAAAAAAACCCAAAAGATAACAAGTGTTGGAGAGAATGTGGAGAAATTGAAACCCATGTGCACTCTTGGTGGAACTGTAAAACGGTGCAATCACTATGGAAAACAGTATGGAGGTTCCCCCCAAAATTAAAAATAGAACTGCCATATGATTCAGCAATCCCACTTCTGAGTATATATCCAAAGGAAGCTAAATTAATATCTTAAAGAGATATCTGCACTCCCATGTTCATTGCAGCATTACTCACAATAGCCAAGATGTGGAAAGAATCCAAATGTTTATTGACAGATAAATGAATAAAGGAAATATGGTATATACATATAATGGAATTATTATTTAGCTTTAGAAAAGGAGAAAAATCCTACCATTTGCAACAACATGGGTGAACCTGGAGGACATTATGACAAGTGAAATAAACCATGCACGGAAAGACAAATGCTGCATGACCTCACCTCCATGTGGAATCTACAAAAGTCAAACTCACAGAAGCAGAGAATTCAGTAGTGATTGCCATGGATTAAGGGGTGGAGGAAATGGGAGTTGTTTAATGGGTACAAAGTTTCAGTTATGCTAGATGAATAAGTTTTAGATAATGCCTGTAGTTAACAATATAGTATTGTATACACTTCAAAATTTGTTAAGAGGGTAGATCTCATGTTAGGTGTTTACCACACAAACAGAAGAACAAACAAAAAGTCTCCCCCCACAAAAAAACAAAGGGACACAAGTAAACCTTGGGAAATGATGGCTATGTCTATTACTCTGATTGTAGTGGTGGTATCACAGGTGGTGTTTGCATATGCTCAGGCTCATGCAATTATACACATTAAATATGTGCAGTCCTTTGTATATCAATTATACCTCAATAAAGCTGTTAAAAAAAAAGAAAACAGGGTTCTGTGTCATTGTCATTTGGGCAATACAAGGGAGTATGATCTGAGAATGCTGAATTCTGGGATATAATATAATGTCTACCTCTCCGTTTTATGAAGGAATAAACTGATGGTCACGTGTAGGTAAATGACTTGTTCAAGACCGCACAGCTAAAAAGTGCCAGAATCAGCAGGCCAGCACGGGAGGGTCAAACCTGAATTTCTGTACTCTTAAATTCTATGTCATAGCTGTCATAAATATGGCTGTCTTGTTTGGATTAGCACTATCCCCTTTGCCTAATAGTCCTATAGCTACTTGTGTCCTCAAAACTCTCTAACCTTGTGCTGTCCAATATCATGTGGAATCCTCTGGCCACATGTGACTATGAGCACTTGAAATGTGGCTAGTACAAACTGAAATGTACTTTAAGTATAATACACATATGAGATTTCAAAGATTTAGTTCAAAAAAGAATGTAAAATATCTCAAATAATTTTTATATTGATTACATGTTGATATGATAATGCTTTGAATATATTACATTCAACAAAATATATTATTAAAAGTAATTTTACCTGTTTCTGGTTTCTGCACATTCTATTTTGCATATGGGCCTTTCTCCCAAAAATATAAGAAAAGTATGTCCTGATACTTTCCTTACTGTTGCTCCAGGAAAGACACATCATGTGAGAGCCATAAATGCTTGTTACAGAGGTTTAATCTAGGCCATCCGTGGGCTACACAATGCTGTAGTCACCATTCCTTGTGCTTGTTCTCTCTTGGGCATCTAAACTTAAAATTCCATCCCTCCCTTGCTTCACCTCCTCTGTGAGGCTCCTGTGAGAATGATAACATTACATAAACTGTAGGTGCTTAAACAGTATTTATTGAATGACGGATGATAGAGGAGGCAGTTCTATGTCTCATTTTGTAGATAGTGGAAGCAGGGCGGAACTCGCTGTCTTAAGGGAAAGACCCGCATCACTGCTCATCTCTTCCTCCAGCTCCAGCGATGGTGTTGGCAGTGTTTATGGGGGAGGTGGTGCTGGTGGTGGGAAAACAGCAGAATCTTTGCTTTTCTTGGTGTCATTCTTGGTAGAAGTAGCAGTGTATGTGTTATGTCCTGGTGTCCTGGTGTTGGTGGTGGCAGAGTTTGCAGAGATGGCATTTGGGATGACGATGGAGTTGGTATTGGCAAAAGAGCTGGAGTTTTTGATTTTGGGGAGAACCCCAGATAAAATATGTTTTGTTTGCATCACAGCACTGGAATTCTTGGTAGTGTGTAGCATTTCTTGGGTGTCTTCGCCAAGTATGTGGGGAATTTCATATTGCAGGTAGTTTTTTATCAACTGAACCACTTTGGGTCCAATACAACATTTTGTCTTCTTGCATTCCTGCACCTGTCTTTCATCTGCATTGCAGTGGTCCTTGCATCTCCCAAAACCCTTTAAACACCTTTTCAAGCCAAAATATTCTGCACAAAAAAGAGGAGAAAACCATTGGTCCAAGATTAATAACTAGAGATGACATTAAAACTGCTGGAGGGAGATGAATAGAGTAAGAGGAAGTTTGTTAAAATTAAATTTTAAGTCCAGGGTTTAGATGCTGATGGAGGAACCTGTGCAGGCCAAGTGAGTCTCTGTACACCTCTGAAATCCAAAATAAATCTCCCATGTAGTCTTCTTTCCTTGAGTAACTTTAAAAAGCTAAGGACACATAGAGGAAAGAAGAATAGGATAGGATAGGATTTCAGATCTCCAACTTAGCATCTTAGACACTTGCTGGGCATCACCTATCTCTTTGATACTAGGAAATACCAATGAAAGCAAAACCAGTCATAAAACTAATCAAGAAAGAATTTCAAAAAAGAATCAATAGGACTTTTGGGAGTGCCGTCTTCTCGCCAAACCCACTAGTCCTTGACTTCTCTCTTTTTGACAATTTCTAGACCCATGATTCCTGGGGCATAGTGTTCTATCACTTTCAGCTTCTCTGGACACTCTGTCCCTCAGAGGTCTTAGTCATTATCATAGCCTTAACCTCATTTCTACCACGATAACTCCCATATAGTTATCTGTTGTTCTAAATTCCTGCTCAGCTTAATACCTCATCTTCATCTGTTAGATGATTTTTCCAACCCAATAGCTCACCTTATTTTCCCTCGATCAAGAAAGCTCTTCCTCCCTCACCCATCTTTTTTTTTTTCTGGAGACAAGGTCTTGCTCTGTCACCTGGGCTAGAGTGCAGCGGCAACATCCTAGCTCATTGCAACCTTAAACTCCTGGGCTGAAGCGATCCTCCTGCCTCAGCCTTCCGAGTAGCTTTGGACTACAGGCGTGTGCCACCATGCCTGGCTATTTTTTTTTAATTCTTTGTAGAGATGGGGTCTCACTCTTGCTCAGGCTGGTCTCCAAATCTAGCCTTAAGTGATCCTCCTGCCTCGGCCTCCCAGAGTGCTAGGATTACAGGTGTGAGCCACCATGCCCCCCTCACCCATCTTAACAGTTAATTTACCATCAATTACAAGAGATTTGTGTGGGATCAAATAATTTTCAAAGCATGTTCACTATATTTTCATGTTGTTTTCTCATCAAATACAGAACAGAAAAATTCTTGTATTGGAAGCAGCTGCATTGATTAATCCCATTATGCTCGTGTGGAACTGGGAGCTCAAAGTGGCTAAATGACTTCACCCAAGATGACACAGCCATGCTTGCTTATGGTACCACCCATCTGCTAGGGTCCCAGGATAAAAACGTTAGCAACATCTTTGACTCTTTCACTTTCCCTTCCCTGACCCACTGCTAATTATTCCAAATATCTGAGTGATTCTTGTATTCTGAAACAGGTCTCAATGATTCTTCCTTTTTTTTTTTGAAAAAGTGGCCAATCCTCTGGTTCGGCTTTTTGCCATAATGCATTCCTAAATGTCCTTATGGTAATTTGGGGTCTCCAGGATGGCAAAAGCTGAGAGAAGGGATAAGACTCTGAAAAATCTGAAAAAGTTGAGATGGCGAACATAGGCCTGTGTACTGGGTCCTCACAGGAAGGTCTTTTTGAGCATGAGGGTGAGGACTTCCTCCTTCCTACACTAAAGTACAAACTGATAGGGACCTTTGCTTCAAGAAATGATTGAAATTAGAAATAGAGCTAAATTAAGTAGACCTTGGCAGAGCCTCAGGATGATACATATGTACACAGCAGGCAGGCAGCACTATATGTTGGAGAGTTTCTCTTTCCTTCTTTCTTTCTTTCTTTTTTTTTTAGGAGACAGGGTCTTGCTCTCTCGCCCAGGCTGGAGTGCAGTCGTAGCTCACTGCAGCTTTGAATTCCTGGCCTCAAGTGATCCTCCTGCCTCAGCCTCCCAAAGCGCTGGGATTACAGGCATGAGCCACTGTGCCTGGCCTGTTGGATAGTTTCTGAGTACATACACAAAAAATACCCTGCTTTCCCTGTAGTTCTCTGGGTGTTTCCCTCAGACACAGCTCTGGAGGTTGGGGCATACGGAGAAGCATCGAGGATGGTGCATAACTGATGCAATAGGTAAGTTCTTTAGCCATCTCTTTCAGCATCTCATCTTTCAAAATATCTTTGGGTTCCCATTGTCATGGGCAGCTAAATCCCTGGTTCCTCACACTGACCCTTCTTAAACCCAGGAATCTGCATTACCTGTGTTCACCTGGTACTGAAGCATGAGGCTGGCAAAGACAGGAAAAAGGAGCTTCATGGCTGGGTGCCAGGGAGGAAGCCTTGGGTCTGGGTTGGTGTTCTTCAGCGCCGGCCTTTATTGGCCTCCTCATGGCCTTAGGCCATGGGCAGTGAAGTGCAGCCAAAGCAGGTGCTGCTTCCAGAAGTTGTGTCTTCTCTGATTCTGTTTGATAGCACCCTTTCCTGAATATCTCTATTCAACAAATTCCCTGCTCTTGATCCTGGGGGAAAACATAAGATATATAAGATACGAAAGAAAGAGCAAGCCCTTTGCATCTCTCCTTCTTAATATTGGAGCAGGGCAAGAGTTATATGTTTGGTTACATATTTGTCAGCCCTGTTATGCTAAGCTTGGCACTTGGTGTGTGAGAATCAGAAGAACTAGAGGGACAGAGACTCAGTCTTGTTCATGCCGGTATCTCCTGTGGCCAACATGGGTACTGGATCAACACATGAACTCGGTTCATGTTTGTTGAACAAGTTTGTGGGAGGCAGCTCTTGGCATATCTTTAACTTCTGAGTTTACAATGATTCTCACATCCTCTAAAAGCAGCAATTTTATAGTGTTCTGTTCTGATTTCTTGGTTATAGCTGATTGATCCAGGGGTAACAATAGAGCCAAGCCTACCAATCAGATGCTTTCCCTGCTAATTTGTAACTTCTAAGAAACTCAAATATTGAAGATCATTGGCTCTGAATATCATTAATTGTTCAAGTTCTAAGAGCTTCCTTGGTTCCTCACCTTTCTGAAGTTCAAGTCTTTTTAGGATTTCATTAGCTTCCATCGTATCTTTCTAACAATTCCCTGATTTGTTTAAACTATGCTATTATTTAAAAAAAAATAAAAGCAGTTCCATTTATGAGCTTTCAACTTATGAAATGTGTATTTTACTTCTGTGAACAAAAATAATCAAGCTAAGACATATTTACTTACCTTGACATGGAGAGATGGAATTAATAGCCCTGTGGGATCGGTTAGTCCCGAATATCACATTTTCATTGGTCTCTCGTGTCATAAAATGCATTCAAATAACATGATTCATCCCATCGTGTCTTGTTAGTCCAGAAGCAATAAAAGTATTGAGAGTGTCAGTAAGAAGAGAAGCATAGTTATTATAGAACAGAAGGTCGAGTTAATAAAAAATTAGAAAGTTATAAGAAATTAATTACTGTATATTGCATGTGTATATCAGATGAATTCATCAATAGTATAGAATAATTCTATAAGAAGACAAATTATACACATGTGCAAGGTGTCACACCTATGTTTATCAGTTAAGATTTAGTTGCAGGAAATGGAATACATTAGCTATTTTAAACAGAAATATTTTTAATATCCCAAATTAGGTGCTTCCAATACCCACAGAAAACGACTCTAGGATTGGTCTCCAAGAATGACTTCCAGAACAATTCCAGCAAACTGGCTCAGCATAGAATCTGCTGCTTCTTCCACAATGAGCAAGGTAGGAGATCAGGTGCAATGATTGGACCTGTTGACTTCAAGAACACACCATGTTGGCCGGGTGCGGTGGCTCAAGCCTGTAATCCTAGAACTCTGGGAGGCCGAGGCGGGTGGCTCGCTCAAGGTCAGGAGTTCGAGACCAGCCTGAGCAAGAGTGAGACCCTGTCTCTACTAAAAAATAGAAAGAAATGATCTGAACAACTAAAAAAATATATATAGAAAAAATTAGCCGGGCATGGTGGCGTATGCCTGTAGTCCCAACTACTCGGGAGGCTGAGGCAGGAGGATCGCTTGAGCCCAGGAGTTTGAGGTTGCTGTGAGCTAGGCTGACGCCACAGCACTCTAGCCCAGGCAAGAGAGTGAGACTCTGTCTCAAAAAAAAAAAAAAAAGAACACTCCATGATAGCGATAATATTAAACATAAGAATAAGGATGTTTTACAGCTGCCACTACAACTGTCTCTTGAAACCCACAGAGCTAGTGATCAGACATTGGAATGTAGCAGAAAAACTCAGCTGAATTTAAAGATTTAACTTTTACAACAATTTAGAACTGTGAGATTTTCAACTTCTTCTTGGATTATATTAAGCATTTGTTGATTTCTTCTAAATTTAATTTTTGGCATAAAGTTGTTTACAATATTTTCTTTGATCTCTTTACTTTCTGCAGAGTGGTAATGATGGCCACATGTTTATTCCTCTTTTGGATAAGGTGTTTTCTATTTTTTTCTTGGTCATTATTTTAGGGGATTTAGTCATTTAGTTGGTCTTTTTAATATCAACTCTTGGTTTTGTTGATGCTCTCTATCGTATGTTTGATTTTTATTTAATTATTTTCCATTCTCAGCTTTATCTTCTTTTCATTTAACTTCCTTTCAGTTTATTCTGTTTTTTCTAACTTACATCGTTATCTCATGAATTTTCAGCTTTTCTTCATTGTAACAAAGCAGACAAGACTCTAATTTTCCCTTTATATATGCTTTAGCTGCATTTCATAAGTTTTGATGTGTAATGTTTCATTACCGTAATAATTCACTTAAAAATATTTAAACACTTTTCAATTTCCAATGTATCATCTTCTTTGACCTAAGAATTAGTTTGAGCCGTGCCATTCTCAGTGTGGTGGCTGTACCAGCAGCATCACCACTTCCTAAGAGCTTGTCAGAAACGCAGGATATCAACCCATCCCAGAGCTAATGAATCAAAATTTGCACTTTAGCAAGATCCCTAGATGATTTGTATGCACTTTAATATCTCAGAAACACTGGATGAGAAATGTGTTTCTTATCTGAGCATGTGGGGATATTTTAGTTATGTATTTGTTAATGATTGTTAAATAATTTCTATATTGTGGGAAGAGAATAATGTTTATATGACAATAATTTTTATATTCATTAAGACTGCTTTACTGATCTTTTTTTGGTAATTTATGCATTTCCTCATATACTTATCATTTTTTTTGTGGTGAGAACACTTAAAATCGACTCTCAGCAATTTTCGAGGATACAATGGGTTATTATTAACTGTAGTCATCATGTTGTACAATAGATCTCTTGAACTTATTCCTCTTACCTAACTGAAGTTTTGTATCCTTTGACTGACACCTCCCCTACCTCTCCTCCCTGCCCCAGCCTCTGGTAACAACCATTTTAGTCTCTGCTTTAATAAGTTGGATTTTTTTTTTAGAAAATGTTGGAAAAACTCTTATAGATATTGGCCTAGGCAAAGAATTTATGAAGAAGACCCCAAAAGCAATCACAGCAACAACAAAAATAAATAAATGGGACCTGAACAAATTAAGAAGCTTCTACATAGCCAAGGAAACTATCATTAGAGCAAATAGACAACCTATGGAATGGGAGAAAATATTTGCATGCTATACATCTGGTAAAGGGCTGGTAACTTGAATCTATATAGAACTCAGGAAAATCAGCAAGAAAAAAATCAAACAACCCTGTTAGAAAGTGAGCAAAAGACATGAACGGAAACTTTTCAAAAGAAGATAGACTAATGGCCAAGAAACATATGAAAAAATGCTCAACATCTCTAATCATCAGGGAAATGCAAATCAAAGCCACAATGAAATATCATTTAACTCCAGTGAGAATGGCTTTTATCAAAAAGTCCCAAAACAACACATTTTGGCATGGATGTGAAGAGATAGGAACACTCATACACTGTTGGTGGGACTGCAAACTAGTACAACCTCTTTGGAAAGTAATATGGTGATACCTCAAAGAACTAAAAGTAGAAGTACCATTTGATCCAGCAATCCTATTACTGGGTATCTACCCAAAGGAAAAAAAGACATTCTATAAAAAAGACGTCTGCACTCAAATATTTATAGCAGCACAATTCACAATTGCAAAGATGTGGAAATAACCCAAGTGCCCATAAATCCATGAATGGATTAATAAAATGTGGTGTATGTATACCATGGAGTACTACTCAGCTGTAAAAAATGGTGAACTAATACCTCTTGTATTATCCTGGATGGAGCTGGAGCCCATTCTCCCAAGTGAAGTATCACAAGAATGGAAAAATAAACACCATGTGTACTCACCATTAAATTGGTACTAATTGATCAAAACTTATGCACACATATGGAAGCAACATTCATCTGGAGTTGGGCAGGTGGGAGAGGGGAGAAGGGGGTAGGTAAACTCATACCTAATGGTGTGGTGTGCGCTGTCTGGGGGATGGGCACACTTGTAGCTTTGACTCGGGCGGTGCAAAGGCAATATATGTAACCAAAGCGTTTGTACCCCCATAATACTCTGAAATTAAAAAAATGTATAACTTTTAAACAATGATAAAAAGTATATATCCAGGTTTTAAAAATTAATATTTGACAATATTAATATTTTAGTTGTATAAGTTAGTCTATTTGTATTTATAGTTATAACTCGTATACTTGACTTTATCTCTGCTAAGTATTTATTTGCTTTGCTCTTTCCATTCATTCCATTTTTTTCTATTTGTATGTTTTTCTCTCTTTCTTTGTCTTCCTTTTGATTGATTAAGTATTTTTCCCTTGAAATCTTTTCCCCATAAGTGATTTGGAAGTTACACATTCTATTTCCATTCATTTAACAGTTAATCTAGAAAATTTATCATGCATCCTCACGTATCAAAATTTAAAGCAGATTAGTGTCTTTATCTTCCTTGCAAAGACTTAGAACATTAAAACTCCACTTCTCCTGGCTTATTCACATTGTTTGTTTGTTTTTTAGTTGTATCATTTAAAACCAAAATATTAATATTGCTATTTTATATTATAAATTAGTCTTTTTCCCTGGTAGTTTTCTTTGATCTGAAGTCAATTTTGTCTGATATTAATATAGCCACTCCAGCTTTCTTTTGATTTATGTTTGCATGGTATGCCTTTTCCATCTTTTTATTTTAAACCTATTGATATTACCACATAAAGTGCATTTTTTTGGGTAAATAGCGTATAGTTGGGTCTTTTAAAAAATGCTCAAATCACTAATCATTAGGGAAATGCAAATCAAAACCACAGTGAGATACCACTTCACACCCATTAGAACAGCTACTATCAAAAATACCCCCCAGAAAACAACAA